CTCTAAGCACTCCCCGCATTATCAGCTTGTCCCCCAACTACTACTACATTTTTCAATAAAAAGAGAGGGAATACACTTCATTCTTTTGTGAGGAGGTAGGAAACGGGACTCTATACATTCACCTCGCTTTCAGCATACATATCCAGCAGGAAGGTGGAGAGAGGAGAAGAGCAGTTATTTTCTTTGCAAACTAATGTACAATTTGCAAGTCGGAGAGCTGCTAGTCCCCACAGACGCTGCTCCTTTTAAACCTCCACTCTTCCTTCCAAACCCCCGTGACTGGGAAATTCACAGCCATTACCCAGATGCCTGCATTAAGCAGAGATCATCAAGAATAAACACTAAGTCCATTAAAAGCACTACAGAATAAATAGGAGACCCACAGATTGAATTTTCTTCTTTAACTAAAAGGTTTTTTGAAACACAGAGTGAATATAAAGAAGCCTGAACTTCTGCTAGTGCTTGCACTTCAGCTAGTGTTTTCAATTATTAATTTCTGCACAGAATTGACAATCAGCACAGAACTAAACTCTCCTTTAGGTACATATTCTACTGGAAAGGAAAACACATCTAGCTCTTCTCCAGGTCACCCTTGCGGCACTGGTGTTGTTTCGCATTGAAAGAGTAACTCACTATACTGGAATAAGAGGCTGCCAGTGTTCCAGCACCACCTAGCAGGTCGGAGACCAAAACACAGTTTGGCAACAGAGCTTCTGACACAAAATGGTAAGAATAATCATTTACATAATTAGGAAAAATAAAAAAGAAAAAAGAAAAAGCTCCTTTTTATTTTTCCTTAGTTACTCCAACTATCATCATTGTGCTACAATTGGTGTTTTCTCTGAGGCTTGTCAGGATCTGCCACTAAAATACGAGGTTAATTTACACTCCACCTCAAAAAGGTCAGTCACTAGCAGTGGTCACTGTGGAATACAACCCCAGAATCAATTCTGTGACACTAGGGAATCGCTCACGCTTCCCAGGGTTTCCGAGGAACTTCTCCCAGTGGATCCCCAGCCCTGGCTGTGCGGATAGCTCTGGCCATACCCTGGCGATCGCCAGCAGATGGCAGAGGCACCTCACGCTCCTGGGCGGCTCCTCTCACACGGCGGTGCAGGCTAAGGACTGGCCAGGCCAGGCGCAGCTGCCACCATCCTGAACTTCACTCCGTAAAATGCTGCATTTTTCAGTGCTACAGAGAATTCTGGATAGGTATAGGCTACAATTTAGAAAACTGAAGCTTGTAAGGGTTAAAGAAAAAGTTCAAAGTTTCTTTTGCAAAAGTATGAGAATCAGATTTTCTACTGAGAGGCTCTTTCAAAGCAATTCCTCCTTCACGTGTTCTCCTTTTTTGTGATGGAACATGTGCGGTATCTTATTCTTAGAACACCTCTATAACTTCTCTGGGCATGAGATAGTAAGCAGAGCATTTAAAATGTAATCCTAATTTAAGGATCCCACACTATCAGATGTTTCCTTCATAAAAGCTGGGTATAGAGATGAGCTGCTATTTACCAGACAGGGAAAAAGAAGCAGACCTCAACAAATGCAAATATGCCCTTGGCACTCTTATGGGAACCCAGAGGAGCAACCCATTCACAACAACAGGCAACGCCAGGGGAAAGCCATCCATTTTCCGCACAAGCTCCGGCCCTGGCATGCTAACACGTTGAGGCATTGACACTGGTATCAAGATAAATACCTTTTGGCTGTCTGTTTCATCCACAGTTTTGTTGAAATAAAGATTTGCAAGAAGTACACTCCCAATCTACCTTCTCTAAACCAATCCCAGTGTCTCTTTCCCAACTTCTTGTCCTTTCTAAAATTAAGCAAATTAACATGTTCTTCATGTCTTTGCTTATAAGAGAATACTTCTATAGTCTTGATTATTCTCATCAGGTTTATTCAAAACATTGTCCAAACTCCAACGCTGTCTAGGGTGTTCGCAGGCCAAGACTTTAGAGGAAGAAAACCTTAAACTAAGCAAGAAGGCATCTTCCACAGCATTATGCTTCTGTTGCTTAATTACATATACATGCACGTATATACAAAAACACACACACCACATCTCCCACCCCATTTTTTTTTTTTAAGGTTTGGGTGGTTGTTTATTTACTTAAACGTTTTTACTTCTTTAAGAGTGAAAAATAAAATCCCTGAGCAACAACTATATGTATTCTCCTCCTGCTACCCCCTCCTTCTACTTCCTTACCTATCTGAAAGTTTTACCTGTCAAATATGAATCAAAACCATAGGATGCTCTCCACTACAAGTCAGTCCAAGAGGATCAAAGCCATCTAACTTCAGGGAGATGATTAGAATAGAGCAGATGATGAACTGAAGGTCACTCTCTGAAATCCTCACACACTTTTTGGAAAGCACACAAATCTCATCCACACCGATCGTTTCACAGAGACGACACTGAGCAGTCAGTCTGTGTCAGCTTCTCAAGTCAAGGATCTAGTGACAACTGCTGTGCTGGCAAGTTAATCCAGATTATCGCACACATAAGAAATGAAATACGTTGCTGAACAACGAATTGTACTTAAGCAATTCAGCACATGAAAATTTGATATATTCCCACTTCTTGAGTTGTTGCCGATAAGCAGCCTAGCTATCAGTCTTGCTTCAAAAACTGCAAAGTAATTTCTATAGGTCTGTTATTCTTATCTTTTTGCTTTGCAAATATTTTCAAAGTTCAAAAGAATGTAAAATAAGTACAGCAAGCAACCTGTAAGATTACTAGTGATTAGAAAGTAAAAATCACAGTATTCAATGTCAGCAAAGTTGTTCAGCAAAGGAAAATCCACTGATCACTACAGTGCCATAAAGGAGGAGCAGAAATTTTATGTGCAACTTTGAATGGTCAATATTTTTGGTACCACACTTCTATTTCTCTCTTGCTGTGTTATTTGCCGCTTTAGTAACAAATAATAAGAGAACTTAAACAGTAATGATAAAAGACAGGCATAATAAAATGGCTATTACACTAGCAAGAAGCTTGTTGTTGTTGCTGCAGTTTGTGAAACACCTTTCAATACCACGAGCATATTAAAACAGCTGCAATCACATAACTAGTTCCAAGATCCTAGGATTCACTGCATTTAATTAGGTGTTCATCTTGTGACAACCTCTCTAGTCATTGCTTTAGTGCACCCCTTCATATAAGAATTCTTAATTTTTAGCCTTAGTTAACAGCACTCTAATTAATATATAGCCCACCATAAACTATACATGGCTGTTTTCCTACGTCTAACTTTCATTTTTTAACAACTGCAACAAAAAGGGACAAATACTGGATTGATAGTTGAAATTTTCAGCTTTAACTAGAAGCATGACTATTTTTAAAATATATCATTAGTCCCATTTCATATGAGAGTATTTGATTTACAACACAAACAGCATCCTTAAAAATTTGAAACGTATCGTATCAACACAGTTAATGCAAGCATTAAGTCTTGCATGCAAATACATCTGCAGCCCACTGAATAGCACAAAAGGGTAGAACAAAGTAACAGTCAAAATTAAATGCCTGAAAACTAATGCTTTCTTTTAGAGAGCATTTAATTTAATGTTATTTTCATTAAATTAAGCTATGAAACTTAAAGTTATGGCATTTGTCTTTCCCTGAAGAATAAGTCTGCATTTTAACTTACCACTTTTTTAAATGTCCCTTAGACAAATACTTAGATGCTAAGTTCATGCAAGAATTTTCTCTTTGCATTGATACTGTCAAATCGCAAGTGTCATTAAGAACAGATATCTAAGCCAAACACTACTACAATTGTATTTATCAAACAGGCACCAACCTAAGACACAGTAAGACTGAATCAATGCAGAAGCATTTCAATGTATTGATGTGACACGCATATCTAAAATTGCTAAGATATCAAGTACTTCATTATAAAATCAAAATTACTGGTCGTACAAATGCATAGGTTTTTCAGCTTTAAAAAATTTAGTTTCATTTCAAGCTCTCTCGTGGTACTAGACCACCTAAGCTTCCCAAAGAAAGCTCTAAGGGCTACCAATCTAAATTACAGAGAAGGTGCACCGTGCTATTTATGGTGTCATCGTTTTTACACAGCCTTACAATATAAGATACATTTACTAAGTTTCTTATACCCATATACCCTAATATAACTGACATATCAACATTACCTCCACAGGAGCAAAACTTGTTAATGTATGCAAACTCCATGGAATTTGGCAAAAATGCTTTCAAAGCTTCACTTTTATTCTTCTAGTCATCAATACTTATATTGCATATATGATGGAATAACCGTCTTCTCCTGTTCTTAAACTTTTCTCTTCGCTGCACTTGAGCAATTTGAAGTATTTAGGGGGAACAATATCTAAAAATAAAAGGTATGTTCTTTTCAGATTGCAATCTACTGGCTTCCAATAGCCAGCCGAATTTCCTTCACATACAGAATACTTTCCTCCAAGAAGATGATGATTTAATAGACTCAATACTCTTCAAAAATATTTTTATTTTACCAAAACTCTTCTTTTGGAAGAAACCATGCAGAAAAGCAGACATCAGCTCCAGCTTTTCAATTCCTTGGCCAGCTACCTGTTCTCTGGGGTAAAAGGTGAAGGTAACTACTCAAAAATGTTTCCCAATTAAACTTGTGAGCATGAGAGCTTTAGGATTTAAAACATCTCCTTAGATTTCCAGCAACTTGTTCTCTTGCAGAAATTGGGAGTGTAAGTAGCATTGCGAGGGAGCCTCCCGCAAGATGGAATTATTCTTCACATACACACATTTCCCTGTTCTTTTTTTTTTTTTTTTTTATCAAAAATCAGATGAGTGCATTTTCACCCTAAGTCATCCCCTCCAAAACAAAAAAGGGCGGGGGGGTGTCCATGAGAAGAAAATGCTGGATTCACTGAGCAGGAAACGACAGAAACAAAAAGCTAAAACACAGGATCACCAGGATCACACCACTTTTTATTTACAGCACAAAGGCAACAAGACTCATTCCAGCCTCACTCACCAAACCAGCAGTAAGTGAAGGAGCAGACTGTCCCAGGGACTGATTTCTCATTCGGACCAGGTTTGAGGTATCTCCAGGGGGCTGCCATACTGTTTGTCCCACTCCACTGTGGACACTATTTGATAAAGGGAGTAGTTGCTTTCCTTTAAAAACAAAAACAAAATACTATCAACTTGTTTAACAAGCTTAAGAGTTCACCATATAATTCTGAAAACAAATATTACACATGGAGAAATAGTGGTCAAAAAAAGCAATTTGCAAGTTCTGGCAGGTTAGAACATGTAAAGGCACATTACCCATGACCATCATAAGCCTGATAATCAAATATTTCAAAGAATCTAGTTTATTTTCATTATGAGGTGATGTCTAAAACCAGCAGTTGCAGCAGCACAATCCTGTCACTTCATATCTTTCTATATTTCATGCAACTTTAAAATGATACATTTGCTGCTAATTAAACTATTTATTATACTGTAGATGAGCAATGGTCATGTTGTCATCATAACATAACATACACTTAAGCATTACTTTCCTTGGAACTATGGCTGGGCTTTGCATGGCAGTTACTACCTGCACAAGTTCATACCACTGTACCTTACCACAGGAACTACAACAGCATTTAATCTGCTCAGTACATTCTTTTCCTAGCAATATAACACTCCTTTATGAAAAATCTCCAGCGGTGAATTTTCACAAAGAGAAAGAACTGAAGTCAAAGTAGGCTATAGCTTGACTTCAAGCTTGGCAGTGTCCTTTTATATGCAATTATGTCATTTACAAAAAAAGAGAGGAGAGTCTTGTTTTAGTCTTGTGGCTAAAACACATGAGTCTGTAAATCTGGGTTTCATTATTGGCTTCCAAATGACTTCATCTACAACTCGGATCAGTCAGCCCTGTTCTTCAGTCTCACTATATGTTGCAAGGCGGTTAAAAAATACCTCTTTTCTTCAACATCAGGATCATCAGATTAAATAAATTGCTATTTGCAAGACAAATGAAAATTGAGTCTGCTATTACTGCACTAGCCTAAGACAGGCTTTACCTCCAACAATGAAATAGAGTGAGACATAGTGGGAGGCACCTATTTATAGCTGGGAAAAGGAAGGATTAGGTAATATAATTCTGTAACCACATCCCCCTTCCCTTGCAAACATGGTGAAGATGGCTGCCTTCAAAAAAATGTAGGCTCAAATAGAGCAGAGAACAAGACATTTGTGGCAATGAATATCAGGAAGGATTCCACATCTTTAATCACAGAATACAGCAGGAAGTACTTCATTTTTCCAGAGGCAAAAATGTATTCTTCTGTAAATTTTTCAATTTCACCTTAGGAATATTGTGAACATGCAGCACGTAAAAACAGCTACAATATTTGGAAGACTGCCACACAACATCATTAGGCATGGTTCCTTTTTCTTTTTTAGTGTTTATGTTAATTCTCTGTGAAAGTTATGAGCAATGTATCAAATACACATTAATGTAATAAGTCAAAGTGTATGAGAGACTAAAAGACTCAACCTTGGCTAGCATATTAGTACCTTTCCCTCAATTCCACCCAAAAGCTGCTTACAAAAGCTGTGAACATAATTTTTATGATTTGCCCATTATCAAGACTACTTGCAAATATAATGACTCTTCTTGTCTGCAGAAACCTAAAACTACAGAAAAGTTCATTTCTGTATTTATCTCAAAAAAATAATAACAAAGTTGTCTTATAATACTAATTTAGAGCATATAATTAGTAAATCATTCAAAATGCCAGTGCTTAAAGGAAGCATATTTTTTAACTCTGTATAATCTAAAATTAAGAATACATCTTTTTAGTTCCACGAAAGTAAAAGCCCCTCCCTGTCGTACTTCAAATCTCATGTACATTTCAAACACTTGCATTTAAAATATCTGAACACCTACATCTCTTCTATTAAACTGGAGTCAACCTGACTGAGGATCTTTTCCCCCCTTCATGTACTAGGTTATAGCAGATTGAAAAGTCATGAAAATATAGCAATAAGCTATGGAGAACATGATAACTTCAGAACAGAAGATTTACAAGAACGTTATATCCTAGGAGTTAGAAAATCTATAAAAAGGAACTTCTCTAACTTCCCTGCTTCCTCCTCCTCATTTTATATTGCTTACTTGTTTCTCAAGAAAAAAAAAAGGTATCGTATTATCCTTTGCCATTATAATCAGTCAACAGCTGTGTAGTTATTAAGTTTGTTATACTCTGCCATTTCCTTCTTTTAATTTTGCACATTGTCTGAGATTTAATTTTTCCTCTTTTGGCAATACATGGAATCTAATTCTAAATTCATTTTTCCCACTGTATTTTCTCCTAATATCTCTTTTCCCATCTTTCTCTTACATTAAGTTTCATACGTCTTCCCAACAAGCTGTCAGCTCTAGTTTTAAAGAAAGAAATATCAGAATATTTCATCACAATTGTTGTGCCAATAAGCAATACCATTAGAGACTTTTAATGGCAATCAACTGTCACAAGGGCTTTGCAAGAAGGCCTACCTGACAAAGAGCCAGCCAGACTGCCTCTCCTTAGCTTGCAGTCATCTTGACTTAACTGACGATGGAGCTTCGTTTTCCCAGCAGATGAGAAGATGTCCGGATTGCTGAGCTTTCTGCAACGCAACGGAGTGGCCTCTGGTAGCATTTCCTGTACAAAGGGAAACAAGCAAAAGTTTGTTAGTAATGGCTAAGGTATCTATTTTCTAAAATATACTGTCTCCAAAGTATCAACAAGACCTGATATTTAGAGGTTTTATTATTTTTATTAAACAAACTTCTTAGAATTGTAAATTTCCCTCTTCTGTGCAACATCTTTGTACCGAAATACAGCAAAAGATCCCAGTCCATTGCAGTTCTTAAGCACTGCTGTAAGAAAAGCCAGCCATAAAGATTAGAAAAAGACAGTTAGATTACAACAGTTATTTGCCCTTACAGTATGTTGGAAAACAGACGACTGAAAATGAGACTAAAACAGATGCTTTGACTAAATTTATCTCCTGCTAAAGCCAAGAATATTTTCGCTGATTTACTGAATGTTTATTCCACCCAGTATTATACCTATAGAGAAACTGTTATGTCTTGTTTCAACCCAAAACTCAAACTTCAACCCAGAATTATAATACACACTACAGTAGCTCTATAACAAGTCTATATGTATCACTAAACTATAATCCATTAGGATAGAGATCATTCTTAGTGGAATGTCTTTGTTATTACTATAAACAAAATTTGACAAGGGTTTGTCCAAAACACTCCCGCACACGCACTCACTTCAGAGCATCCAGCAAACACTCCATCAAAAGAGAAGTAGGTAGGATAGCAGCCAACAAAACCCCTGCTCCTCTAATACATTTAATTGTTCTGGAGGTGTTAAATTAACTCTGATTTTACACCTGAAGAAAAATTACAAGCATGGTTATCATGCATGGATTAATGGTTAACACTAATGTGACACTTTCCATTATCACAGAACAGTTGAGGTTGGAAGGGACCTCTAGAGATCATCTAGTCCAAGCCCTCTCTGCTCAAGCAGAGACACCTACAGCACATGGTATAGGAAAAAAACATATATCTATATATTTTTATATATATATATATATATATACACACACATATTATAACCTATATAGATGCACTTGGACCTGTTTTCTCTTCTCTACTGTTGAGCATGTTTTAATGGATTACTCCATTTCATTTTAAAAGCCTCTCATTAGCTATACAGCAGTTCGAGTCATGCTCATCCTTATAAAATGACATTTGAGACAAAAAATAAACTGCAAGGAACCATTTGCTTAGCATGATACATCACCACATGGTTTAACTTGGTGTCAGATCATCTCTTTTATACCATATTTAAAGCAAAAATTCATCTACCACTACTGGTTTTTAATTAAGAACTACAGATTGAAGTCCAAATAAATTTCCGAAATCGTTATTCCATATCTGTTCAGTCTACAGTGTTAAACCTCAAGCTGTCAAATCCAAACCAAGAACGTGTGCTTTAGAATCTTTTAAGAGTTTTTGGAGGGAGCAAGAGAGGAATGGAGGAAAAGAGAGAGTACAATAAAGGAAGGAACAAAATGAAGTGAGTTTTACATAAAAGAGATGAATTCGGGTTTGTTACAGGAACCTCACTTAGCTCTGACTCCCTCACACTTTTCCTAGAGCCCATCTCCTTTCAATTATGAATCTTTTAGTATTTCATAAGAGTAAATAGCTTCAAAGGTGAGGAGTGTTTTGCTCCACATCTGCTTTGCTGGTGCACATTTCCAGGTTGAAAGGCACTGCTCTAATGTAATTTCCTCCCCAGGCTATGGTTACACATTCAGTCACAGCACTGCCTAAACTGAATCAAAACAGAGACTTGAGAAATTTAATGTAGATCAGGTCACTTACGCCGTTCATCACCCAGCTACAAGCAGTTGCACTAGCACAGGAGTGGGGGAGAGGTATGAAAACAAGCAACCTATAGCAAACTGCTTCATCTGGAATAGCTTTAATTAAATATTAAGGTTCCTCCTGACACCCTGGAGCAGTCACTCCCATTTTCACATGTCTCAAACACTTTTCACAAGTCCACTGAATACTTTAATTTCCAGCAGCTGACACTTCAGCTTACACTTCTACTTTTTATCATTTGGAGTGCTGAAAGGACATCTATATTCATGCTACGACACCTCCAGCTTGTACTTAAGAATAAGCTATATAATTTTAATTGTGACATTAGCTCTCCCCAGTATTCCTGTCAAAGTTAAGGACAAAGGGAAGAAGCCTTTCTTGTTTTCTCTTAATGATGGGGGATATATTATGTATATACATACAACTACATACATGTGTATACATATACACATGCATATATTTTTGTGTGTGTGTGTGTGTGTGCGCTGATATACATGCATGTATCCATACAGACACCCAATACCCACACACAACACCCACATACCTCTCAGCCTGGAGGCCAAACTGCAGTAGAGGCTGCTTCTTGGGACATTCTTCCATACGTTGGGCATAGGGTGAAGGCCAGGTGGAATTTTGGGGGCCTGTTTTTTTGCTTCCATCTCCCATTCACAGGTGCCTCATCCACAACGCTGACAGTACAGGGCAACAGTCTTGCCTTGAGGCACGCCTTGCATCACTAACACATGTGCAATAGGTCTACTAATTTAAGTCATTAAATATAGTCCTTTCAGCTCTCCAAATTCAAAAAGATTAGAAAAGAAATGTGTGCTTGCTGACCTGGACATTTTTGTTCATTGAGGTTTTTGAGGTGTTTTTTTTTTTTTTTTTTTTTTTTTTTTGTTCAGGTGCACCCCCCACACACAACGCACACAGGCACACAGCCATGTACATAAGCACACAGACATCCTATCTACCTTTCTCAAACAAATGCCAAAAAAAAAGAGGAACATTTCGGGAAAAGCACCAAAGTCAGAAATGAAAGCACTGTAAGAAATATCATCTTGCAAACAATTTCTGTATTTTACTTTTTATTGCCCACTCCTCCCCAACCAATAAACAAACACGTGCATAACCTCACCAAACAAAGATTTTGTTCATACCCCTCCCCAGAGCCTTTTTCTTTTGGGTAAAAATAGTTATAGGTTCTTACTATTTCTTCCAGAGTTGCATTAAGCGTTTTTTGCTAGATCTATTAACTTTAGAATCACAAGTGCCCTACTTGAAAGGGCCACGCGGAGCACGGGCACCCAAGGGTGCACCTTTTGCTGCCATGTCCTCTCCTGCACACAGCCCTCTGCCCTGGGGCCAAGCTGCTGGGACCCGCTGCTTCTCTGCGTGTCCTTCCTTCACAGTTGGACTCAATGATCTTGAGGGTCTCTTTCAACCATAACAATTCTATGAATCTATGCAGGTCTTCAGCAGCAGTCCCATAGACGCAGCTGCTCCCCACCAACCACACTACAGAGAGACCACAGCATTAACTAATAAACTTAGGCTGCCCAGGAGAGCAGATAAGGTCAGTGCATTTAACACATGCACATCCCCACACAAACCCTCTCTAAAAAGCACGTAAAGCACTTGCACAATACTCAGAAGACTACACAGCTGTCAGATGTTTGGAGGAAAAGGACCCCAACACTGCTCTGCAGGTTGGCACATGGTAAACGCTGCCTTTTCCTGACTTTTCAGGAACGCAAAAAAAAAAAAAAAAAAATCAACTGCAATGATGAGAGAAAATAGTAAAAAAAAAAAAAAAAAAAAAAAAAAAAAAGCTGGAGCAGACCATGGCCAATTTAAATTCCATTTTCTAAGTGCTATGCATATATTATGCCAGCAAAACACTCTGGAGGGAAAGTTTTAATTTGACAACAATAGAGGCCTCTTTCATAAGACTGTAATTTCACTCATCCATCAAAGCCAAGCTTTAATATTGCAGTTCATAAATGAAATACAGGGGAATAACAGTGTTTAAGTTAACACTTTTGAAACAAGGAGGGGCCAGGGAAGCAGGGAGAAAGCCTTCCTTGGCGCAGAACAAGATGTGATCCATAAAAAGGACAGGAAGATCTTACACAATCTTCCAACTGAACAGGGAAGGAAAACTCCTTGCAGTGGAGCAGTAAGATTTTGTTTACACACTTTCAACTAACTACTCAGACTACCAAACCAACTGGTTGGAGAAACAATGATATAGATTTTTAAGGTGTCAACTTCTACTTTTCAAAAGTGGAATTTCTTACAGCTTTAAGAATGAAAGCATTAGTAAGCATGTAACAAAAACACATCACTAACACAGGGTGGAAAGAAAGGCCCATGAGCATCTCTCCCCCCTTTCCAGAAGTGAGGGGAAAAGACCTTCTTAGTCTACTTTGCCAAAGCAAAAACTGGGCTTATGCAGACAGCTGAACTCCGCAAAGCTTATGGCTCAAGATAAGAACGTCACACAAAAGATTTGTTAGGCCAAGATTCCTCCCCTGGGCAGTCCCTGCAATGGTATACAAAGGCCTGCTCGTGTCACATGAAATAGTGGGACACCAAGAAGAACAGCAGTAGATCTTCCTTCAGCAGCAGCCAGCTCCACATTTTGCAGCCCAGCCACTTACCACACTTGCACAGAAAAACAGTTAAAATAGTTGTGGCATGGGAATAAATACAAGTCTGCTCCCCTTGCCCAAAATCTTACACTGGGGTTACTGCACTCAGCGAGACAGAGAGCCGCGACAGCTGTAGCCAAGAGACAAGAAACCCAATGTCCTTCCATGAAGTGCAGGGTTACATTCACGCGCAGTGTTACCATGCTGCTCCACCAGCTTCAGAATAGGGGTGCGAGGAACCTGTCTGGTTATCAGCTTCCTTTTCTTCCAACAGGATGAACCTCCCCAGGATTACAAGCAGGAAGTAAATGTAATTCAATTGCTTGTTCGGTTTGTTTGTTTTCCTTACTGTTCATTTAATGGTGCTGCAGAAGAGAGGTACAGTACAGATCCCTAACCCAAAAGTGACACGCAAAGGCTGCAACCGCAGATGCTGATCAAGAGGGAAAGCCAGGATCTTCTCTGAACTATGACATGAAGCACCATACAGAGCCTGATGCATCAGCAATGGATTAATTTTTAAAACCAATGCTCAAAACTTGTCTGTAGGGCCTAGGTTTAAGATCAAAGAGATCATACAAAGACATACTTGCATGTCACTGGGTTAAATACATTTCATGAGTTATGTTTATTG